GATATGATCTTTACATAGTGATTAATCATATAAATGATTCCGATTATAAATACAAAGTTCTGTGGATAGGCCACAAGGTATTTTATGGATGATTTTCTTCTGTCCTTGAAGATCCAAGTCTTTCTCGCACATGATATATCATTCACATGAAACTGAAAGCATCCATATGAATATGAGAAGAGCTTGGCTCCTTAAGGTTAAGGAGAGTTTCTCCTCAAAATACTTTGTGACCTATTTACAGAATTTCATGCTTATGATCGTAACCGTTCATGTTTTAATCATTTTGTAAAGATCATCTATGCAAAAATCAATTGAACTAAGACCGTTTAGTCAATTAACTGCACATAGATAGACGGTTCCCAATATTTTTACGGAATTCGTCCATATGTTTTTTCATACAATACGATGTCTAAATAATCTTAGTTTTAATTGATTTTTTGTAGAAGTAATCCTTACATAATGATCTATAATATAAACGGTTGCGATCATAAATACGAAAGTTTGTGAATAGACCGGAAGATATTTTAAAGAGGATTTCCTCTTCATTCTTTGAGGAGCCAAATGTTTCTCACATATGATATGCGTTTTAAACCCTTCTCTAATATTAGCCAAAAAAAAAAAAAAAAAAAAAAAAAACCCTTCTCTAATATTGTTTGTCCTATATGCGAAGATGGCCCCCTCCTTAATCAAGTTGCCTAAGCCATGATGTAAGTTGTTTACCAACTCTTATCTGATGATACCCCAAATCATGCCAACACCATGCTGTTACTGATGATCCTAAAATTTTAAAGTTTCGTTTTATTTTTCCTTAATCAGCAGCTCGAATGGCTAAGCTTTGACTGATCTCGTGTCAGGTCACCAACATTACCTGATTTTTTCACATTTGAAACTGAAAGCTGCTCCCATATGACTTCTTCTTCTAGAAAAATAAAATAATCATTTTCCAGTGATGAATTATTTCTACTATTTTATATTGTTGGTCATTGTTTGGCGGCATTAGGACGGGGTTTTTCTATATACGTGGACATATATGTGTAAGAACCTAAGAGGGTCGTTTTCCAAAGGGTTTCTTAATGAACAATTAATTGCAGTTTTATATGTTTGTAATGTTGTTGCAAGTAATTGCAAGAGAGGTCTCTAAACTAATCAGGAAGAATACAAGCCAGTTAATTTATTTATGGAATATCATATGACACAGTTAGATAAACTATAAACCAACATCGATCTGATTATCTCTTAATCCAGAAATCGACAAGAGTAAAACCAACATCAAAAGGATTTAATTGTCTGAAGTGCTTAAAAGTGAAGTGAATCTCATACTCCTTTTTTTCTCATTCGTTCCTAGCTAGACTCTTGCTTAGCTCGTAATTTATTGTTGATTGATTCAATATTGTGACTAAAAACAAGACAGAATACAAGGGAATAAAAAAAATGTAAAAATCACTTCGCCCAAAATATTTTCTGATCTTTGGTGTGCAAGTTTGTGTTTTTTTGATACGATAATTTCTACTCGATGACCCCAAAATGAACAAAGAATAAATGTCTATTCCTCTTTATTTGTGAGTAAGAGATTTTAGATTCAATTCTCGTCAAAGGTAAAGTTTTTTTTTTTTTTTTTTTTTTTTTTTTGGGTTAAAGCCAAAGGCGAAATTGAATTACATTATTAGGACAAGCACATTGTTAGGTTTAGCCTACTCCCCACTCCCTTAATGAGATACTATCATTTGTTCAGAAAAAAAAAAAACATAATAGAGCATCTCTGACATTTTGGGAGATTTGTGCGAATGTTATAAAGGACCCTCTATAAGATTTCTTTCTCTCTTTTTTTTTATCGGATGTCCCTGAAGGGACAGGACCCTCCATGAGATATTTTCTTTAACAATGTATTCATGCAAAATTTAACAATCAACATTCTATCTTAATCGAAGTCGACATCTCAGTCCAACAAATTGAATAGTCACACTCATATGGGTTTCTCAACTGACATGAAATTATGATTTAGGACTAATTCATAAAAAAAAATACGATTAAAAGAGAAATATAAAAGGACGCATGTGCTTGTGGGAGGCAGTAATAGACAAGATTTTTTTTTTTTAATTTTTTGAGAGGATTGGAAAATTAATATAAAAATTATAAGCTCCTCTTAACAATTGTAATATTTAATGACCAACAAGAAAAACTCATCGCCATATGTAAACTGAAAACTTTTTATCAAGTTTTTAATAGAAAATATATGTACACATGTAATATAGGATGTATATATATGGGGTGCAATTTGGGTTGGGTCAACTCGAATCCATCCATGCCCAACCCAATTTTAAACCCAATTGAGTGGATTAAATTGAAGTAAAAACTCGCTCAAACCCAACTTAACCTCAACTTGATCATTTATTGGGTTGAGTTGATTCCTTGCCTATGCATATCAACTTAACCAAACTCGATTCCTAGCCCGAATTCTCTCAAACACATATTACTCATTCAACTTCATATTATATAAGCAAGGTACATGTTTAGGGATGACTAAATTGAGGATTGTTGTTGGTTTTGATTTGTACAATGGATGATAATGTTGCTTTTATGTTTCTATTGGTTGAAACTTTGGTATTCTCTTGTACTTGTATTTCAACTTCACATATTTGAAAGATTAAAACTGATCTCCATGCTATTTGGCTTTGTGTGGATGATGATGTGTAAAATTAAATAATAACTAATATATATTGATGTTGTTTACAAAGTTTAATAACATCTTGCAAAATAAGGTTTTAAGATTTAGCTCTATAAAGTTGGACAAACTCGAACTCAAGCCAAGTAAGCCCAAGCCCTTTAATTTAAATCCAAACTAGAATAAAACTGTATGAACTCGAATCCAACCAAAATCCAAACTGTGAATGATAATTATACAAAATTGAAATTTTTTGAGCCCCTTAAAAATTAGGGTCCATGGGTCGATGCACCCTTTGCAATATACCCAATGGCACCCTTGTAAAAGAGCTCATAATTATTTTTGTGAAAGCCGAGCGTATTTCTTTATACAACAATATATATTTAGATTAAAGGGATGAGGAATATTGATATCAAACTCGTCATCTACGAAATTGAAACTTAAGACATCTCACTTACAAGTGAAGAGAAATACAACTAGACCCTTATATATATATATATATATATATATATATATATATATATATATTCCGTCCAGTAAAACAAACATTTTCTTGATATCAGCTAAAGTGTGATTAAGAAGCCCTTATGGGAGCTTTTCAAAGGAGTGTTATTATTAAAAACTTGTTAAAATTTTAATTAAAAGTACAAGTTCTTTTCTTGCGGGTTCTTTCCTAGAAAGCGTTACGCTTTTATGTACTTTTGCCAAACCTTAAGCCAGGAGCATTTTTAGTTTTTTCAAAAACGTTTTTAACACTTTTAGAAGAAAATTCAAGCCAACCCTATTTACAGAAGTACAAGAAAACATGCCTTTCCTTTTCTTTTGCATGTCGTCCAATCTTGTTGTGGATAGCATGTTGGTTTTCTACATGCGTCATACGTTCGAAACTCCTGATCTCCTAAATTATTGTAATTAGTTTCGAATCATTATTTCATTATTTAAAAAAAACAAGCCTTTACTTTTCGTTTTATTTTGTTTGTACATTTGATTATAAAGCATTGTTGCAAGAGCTAGTACTATTTCTGATTCTTAATTTGGTGTCAGTCATAGCAAGAACAAGGATTATATTCTAGTAAATCTGGACAACTATTATTAGAACAGGGGAATTGTATAGTAGATGCACAACAGGCCAGTGTTAAAGTGGAGATAAAGATTCTCCATATCTGAAATTCCAATGCCAAAGAGCATATAAAATATAGCACCTTGTAGGTTAAATTTCTCCCCCCACCAAAGAATGGAACATTGAAAATGAAAATGGGAGTTCCAAATAATTGAGAATCTGAGATCAAATGGCTGTGCAGATATAATCCGTGGGCCGAAAAAATAAGCAGGCAGCAGGTGCGGGTGAGTTGATTGAAGTGGGCCCATTAAAATTCAAGAAACAGAAGAATAAGGAGGATAAGAGCTTTGCTAGTTGCTAGTTGCTGCAACTACATTGTGACGTGAAGGTGAAGTGACTCTAATTTAGGTTATGCAGAAATTGTTAGTCAAAGCAGTTAAAATGTGTGATGCATGCAAGTTGCAATCCCATGCAACCCATGTTGAATATTTCAAGAATATTATATATATAATATATATATATATATATATATATATATATATATATATTGTTGAATAACCCACCCTTAACCCCACCTGCTTACGGCCCACGCCACGCCCGATAGGGTCGCATTGTCTTCCAGCGTGAAGGAGAACTGTCGCTTCTCGAGTACAAGTTGGAGGGACCATCTTCATCTGCAACTTCAAAACTAGTTTCATTGGACTTGTACATGGATGATGGATTCAATAATAATCTAGCTGAATCATAGGATATTTTGGGATTTTTAAAAGTCCTACATTCTAGATTTGTATTTTAAAACAAAAATCTAACTGTTTAAACACCCGAAGTATCTCATACTTCAGGGTACCAAAAAATTCCTTGAGTGACAAATATTTTATTTTTATTTTAGATTATGTAACGCATGTTATCACTTTGTCATTAGCAACGACGTAGACCCAAATTGTTATTAATTTCTTGGCGATGGAAATACTAGTTTATAAATCGTAGTTAATGGGACAACAAGACTCAATTCGATCGATGTATTGTTCGTTTAAATTCTTTGGTCCTTCTAATAGACCTTAATATGAAGGTTTTCTTCTTCCCTAGTTCACGAGATCAATAAATATCTTTCTTGAAGCTCCAAAAGATTCATAAGAAATCCAAGTGCATTGAACGGCCCAATTTGTCACATACCGGTAAGGATAGCAACCTGACCAATCACACGCAAAAGTACAAGGTGAGAACTTAATTCATAAATAATTAATAAATGGACATGCCAAAATCGAACCTCGCCAATAATAAATCGCAATCATGTAATAGCAAAGCATTGTACAAATTAACACTGGTAGAGAAAAATTTGCGCGACCCAACTTTATGTGACGCATCAAATTTTGTCGCACAATGTCACTTTGTGCGATGAAATCAGAGTATCGTTGTACGAAAACATCAAGGCTATAAAAAATAATTGAAAACATTAGGCCACGAAACCTTTCACCGCGCAAGAAGGCTTAGCATGACAAAATGGATATTTCATTGCACAATATCTGGGTAAAAACGCAGTAAAATGAAGGTTTTGCGCCATCTCGCACGACCAACAATTTTTCGTGCAAAAATCTTGTGCCATGAACTATTCACCACATAAAGAACTTTGAAATGATCGGTAAGACATTTAAGATGGTGTAATTACTGCAAGCTTTGTGCGACGGGGACTTCGTGGTTCAAAGGTTCCATGAGTTCTATTAAATCACAGATCCACTATCCCTTTTAAACATACAATTTAAATTTGAAGACTTAAGTGGCACTTTGACCCTTTTAAAAAATTTCTTCTCCACTCGATATGTCAAACTATTATCTACTTTTCATAATTGTAATAAGTATTTTTAAAACAAAAAATAAAAATAAAAATGATGAAAAGCACTTATTTCCTAAAATTAGATTTGAAGTTGCTGTCAAATTTGACAGCAACCATCTTTGATGTCAATCCGCATCATGTCACATATGAGTTGACATTTCGGTTGAAAAACACTAATGTTGTCTTTTTTTACTGTTATTGTTAATGTGTACTTTTTTACTCTTCCTTTGGAGATGCTCTAAAGTAGTAGTTAAAATGGGAATTTGACTGTTTATTATTTTATTTTATAATTTGTTTTGGTTCTAATTCTTTTTTGTGCGTTTAATACATAGTTATGTTTTGTTTTACAATAATTTTTCCGCCAGTTTATGATGAAAAAAAAAACTTTAGTTATTATATCTCAATCATTTTATAAGCATAAATACCCTCAATTTGTAATTCCGGGAAAAAAATGGTGAGTTATCATTTATTTTAGCAATAAGAGTTGATGCCAAGATAAGGATTAACTTGGAATAGGGAAGTGAACTTCCGCAGGGGTGATTCGGTCGCTTACAGTTACAATCCTTCAGCTTGTGTGTCTCGGAAACCTGCAAGGAAGAAAGGAATAATGACCTTCTTCTATAGATGTATAGCTGGGAGAAGTTATTACCTTTGGTTGATGTGGGACTCTTAAGATATTGTTGTGGGGTTGAGACGTCGGAGTAAGTGAGCTCCATGTAGGAGGAAGTGAGAGCTTACGATTGGTTACAGAGTTAGTCGGTGGCACCTGTTGCCACACGAGGTAGTCAGCCTTGGCATGTGGTGCGGGAGCTAAGTGTCGAGTGAAGAAGAAAGTTGATTCAGAAGGCGTGCTTCGATAGTATGGCTTTAACAAGTAGTGAAGGCTTGACAATTTCGAGACCGATCACATATATATATGCTACAAACAGAAGTAAATAAAAGAGAAGTGGTGAAAACTGTGGCCACATTTTTCTCAAATTAGTTGGACAAATGTCCAAGTTTAATACTTTTCTTGTTGGACAAATGTCAAATTATTTCAAATCCAGCCGTCATATTTGATTTTGAACACATTTGAGTAGTCGTATTGGATACAATTGGTCAAAAAATTGCTAAGAAGGTGAGTGGAGTTGAAGGTCTACAATCTTTGTCAAAGGAGAATTATTAAACCAACTTAGTAAATCTTTTAGAGATGTATTTTTCAGGTCCATTCACTACTAGGTAATCTTGGAGATGAATAAGCTGTGAGGCAAAACTAATTCCTTTCTATTAGTCTCAAATGATCCGTAAAGATTGTTCTATCCCAAATATAGAGACATTTGACAAAATGACCATACTTAGTCATGACATTTGCCAGAAAGTTTGTCTCCCAAGAAATAAAAACAAAATGCTTCGCTGAAAATCTAATGTCTTCAATTCAATGGTTGTCTATAACCTTCAAGTTATGGAATTCACTTCCTTGACATGACTCAATCACTCTATATTCACCCTTATAATATTCTTCCTTCTCGCATGTCATCAATTTAATGAAAATTCAAATAATTCAATAGACAAAAAGTGTAAATTGATTCAATTTCAAAATCTTAGAGGGCAATGTGAGAAAATTGAAACCTCGTGACCTATTTTGATAATCACCCAAAACATAGAGGGTGTAGTTAGCCTCCAAGTTTATGACCAAAATAATCACCTCAAAATGAAAACTTTTTAATTCAATTTGGATTAGGAACTTCAATTTTTCTTCAATAGTTTGAAAACTCATACGAGAAATGAACGATCAAGATCGAGTTTAGAAAATATTATTTTTGGGTTTAGGGTTACCCAGTAAATAATAAGAGTTTAACCACAGGTTTGGTTAAACTCTCTTCATCTTCCGGTGTACAATGTAGGAACTGGGCTCATATGATCGAACTTTCCATACAAATGGTGTACATGTCCAGCTTTCTCAGCAGGTCATAAAGTTTACCAAACACAAGGACCTATAGTAACTTGGTAGAAGACACAAGACAGTGCACAGTCAGAAACCCTAAACCTACTCATACTCCAAAGATGGTTTAAAATTGGCAAACTCTTGAAACATCATTGCGAACAACATAACACACAACATCTTCAAATTCTCATTGTGATTCCGAATAAGGAACTGAAGCTTGAAGTCATCATTCTTCATGACAGTAAACATCTTTCTCCTCTTCAGTGCAAAATAACTCACTTGCAAACCACCACAAATCACTCGCAAGCTCTGCCCCAGGTAAAGTCTCGACTACTTTCAACACTTCCTCAGTGCTATAAGGTTGTGCAACTTTAGTATTCATCGATTTTTCAGCATTCTTACTCTTAGCCATGCCAATAAGTTCAATTTGTCGTGACAATTCTGCAGCACCTCCCACATTCTCTTTCTTTTGTTTCGTAGCAGCTGTACTCAGTGGATGAGAAGCTCTCTTTTTTCCTCTCTCTTCAGTACCTATATAGTAACTTGACTCGTTTCATCAGAATCGCCACTTTCTTCCAATGTAGTGACATCATTCTTGGAAGCCCCTCCACTTTCAACTCGGAGTACTCCAGATGAGGGTGCGCAAGAATGTTTACCGGTGGCAGTGGCATTCATAAACATCTGATCTAAATTCTCCTCTAGCTCAATGCCAACATCACGAAATTTTGCAAAGTCTCCGTTTCCCTAATAAAACTTGCATACATATTGAGATTAATAATAAACTCATAACAGTGAAAAAAATATGATAACTCATAAACTAAAAATAGATTCACACCTGAGTTTTATTTTCCCACCATCCTTGAGATGCATCAATAGTACTCTTAATATGATTCCAACCAAGACCAGTTTCCTCTCATTTGAGTTTTATCCACAATGTCCATCCTCTTCTAAGTGAATCCCATTTATTTTTCAATTGTGTTCTATTGAACTGTCTTCCAAGTTCTGCACTACGGTTGTTGATCAAATTTGCGTACCCATCTTTATCCAAGTGTGTACCAGGACGCCTTCCTGCCTCCACCTCTTTGATGCAACCGTCACAGAATACAGATGTTGTATAAGTATTCAAACCCGCCTTTTTCTGTTTTGAATCTTTTGATCCATTCCCATCTTATCATTTTGTCCCCATCTGTGTGCAAAAGAAAAAGTGACAGGTAAAATATAAAAACATATTACAACAGGGATGCTTGCTATTGTTTCACTCAAGTACATGTTATTAACATGATTGCCAACAAACATCAATTTCAAAGACAAACATTTCATACCAGCAGAAAGGTGTATTGTCCCCAGAGCACTGAATAATTTCTCAAAAGAATGACAAGAATTTGATTGTTAAAGAGTTCAACATTTTGAGTGATTGATGCAAAAGTTAAGAATCACATAAATTATGACAAAAAGTTTGGTAAACTGGCACTCTGAAGTTATAGAAATAGTTAAAAACAAACAAACAGTATGGTGACACCGTTGATGATCTTTTCAGGACAAAAGGGAAAACAAAACTTCCCAATCATAAAGAAACCACTAGTATTCCATTCACAAGATTTCCCAAGTCCAACTTCTGTTATATTTCTCCATGATCATGTATGACACTGATCTCTAGAGATTCAGAACAAATTTCTCTCCCCAAAGATATATATTTTTCGCCTGATTTATAAGGGAACATAATCTGATGGATCCCAAAAACAGGAGGAATAATCATGCTGTGAATGCACCGTCGTTAATAAATTTTCATGTCACTAACACTGAAGAACACACATCCAAGAACTACATATGAAAATGATTTCAATTACAGAACAATTATATATGTCAAAAAAGAGCTATTAAGTGATTACCAAGCAGTCCTTATGTGGTTATAAATTCATCGTTCTCTTAAATTTGAGTAAAGAAAAATTATTAATTTACAACCATCTCCCTAGCATGATTGTGCAGAAAAATGATACACAAGTTTGGTAAAAAAAGATGTATCTTGTAAAGTTTCATCGACTTATAAGTCGGTGGTTTCCATTTCATGTAAAGGAAAAGACAAAAAAATGCACAACATAGTGAAAGCCAAGTACAAAAGAAGCAAACCCAGCAACCCAAAACACGATGAGCAGTATGTACCTAACCAAAACAGTAAGCACCTGGAGGGTGTGAAATTGAGTTAGCTGTTGTTTAACATGGATTGCAAGATTGTTTCATTGAACGAATTTGTGTACTATTCTTGTGTTGGTTTTATTGACAAAGCACAATTTTTTAACACATCCCACTTAAAATTTCAATATTGAATGATATAAATGCCTTAATATAGAATGAGTAAGTGTTACACTCTTAAGTTAATGCCTACCGAAAATATGCACAGCTTTGGTAGGAGGCTAACTATATATAGTTTCGACAAATACTTGTGGAAAACTTGCATTATTTTGGTTCCTAACTACTGATGTTTTAAAACAATTTTAATATTGATATGCTGAAACCAAGGTGCTAAAGATGTTAGTTGCTAGTCGGACGTTCAGCTGGGGCGTAGTGCCTAAGCGGCTAGGTGATGCCTTATCGGATTAGGCAGATTTATGTAATTTCTTATATATTGTATAAATAAGTGTCTATTTATACTTAAAAAATACATAAATGTATACATGAATTGCAAAATAAAATAAAATAGAGATTATAAAGTATTAGAACATATTGAAAACATGGGGAACAAGTATATAATGAGTGTTCACCCGAGTATTCAACAAGTGTCTTACATTTTATTGAAAAAAAATAAAATGCAAAATGAAAGTTATTGATTTTTTGTCCAAGCGAGAGTCGCGACCTAGGCGGGCTTAGATGGGCGGGCACCTAAGCGGGATTAGGCGTACTTTCTTAATTTTCAAACTCTAAGGACTAATCAGGATGGTGACCAGTCACCTAATGCCTTCGCAACGGTAAGTAGAGATTTTTAGAACAATGGCTGCAACACCAATTATTTAGATTCTTAACGAGAAATGTAAGAAGTTTTGGGAAAATATTGTTGAAGCTTATGCAAATCCAATTGGAAGCTACAAAAGTTATAAAAAAGCAGGGTGTGAGTGTGAGAGTAGTTTGGATAAGTTAAGTGGGTGTACAAAAATAATTATGTATTTAAGAAAAAGATGAGGAGTGATTTCGGTAAGTAAGGTTCTAAAAGACGCTAGGCTCTAGTCGGGCGTCGGACTGGGTTCTAGCGCCTAGGCATCTAGGCGGGGCTTAGGTGGGTGGCTAGGCGGACTAGGCGGATTTAAGTAAATTTATTATATTTCATGTAAATAAGTGTTTGTTTATACTTAAAATATATATAATTTCATCATAAACTACAAAATAGAGTGATATTGTTTGGGCCCAAAATAATAGTTTCGGCCGAAGGAAGGATCATCCTCGGCCCGGGAGGCTGCGCGGCGAGAGGGCCATGGATCGTTCAACTCGTGGGCTTCCAAGCCTAGGTCGGGTAGATCATAACGCAAGTCAAGTCCTAGTACAATAAGGAGTCTCGGCGGGATCAGTAACCTAGAAAGCGAATCCGGCTCAGTTAAGGACTAGGTTCACAATCCTAGTGAAGATAGGACTGGTCGAGGTGGTGTTGATCCGAAGAGGAAGACCTAGTCCGAGTAGGATTTTAACTCGGATTCAAGATACAGCGCTATAAATAGGGGAAGCTGTGCGTCAGAGAAGGCCCCCTGCAAATCAATACAAAATTGCCCTGCGCAAATTCTCACAACTTGTGATTTTTCTTTTTCCTTTTTCGCTGACACATCTTCCGTTGGCATCAACAGCACTGTGGAAGCAACCGGTGATATCTTAAGTCGGCATAGATAGCTCTGTCACCGTAGAATCAGTCGGTCTCGCAGTATCTTCCGTTGGCATCAACAGCACTGCAGCGAGAACGATTGATTACCTATCCAAGTCTTGGTCGAGAAGGATTTCTGAATC